GCGGTTAACTGAGTATATTAAAGAATTAATATGGCCCAAAAGGGCCGCAAACTAGACTTTCGATTTTGGCTTCATAGGTCGCATAATAAATATGTGTTGCGAAATGTGACCTTGGAAGGTTCTTGTGGAAAATCGTCCAGTGTTGCTTAACCGAAATAGACTTGGGTGTGGGGTAATTTGGAGGAACCATGGCAGAAAGAAAATGTTGCATGGCGATTCAGGCTGTGAAAAAATTCAACAGTATAGAGAAGAGCCATACAAGCAACTTTCTTTTCATGACCATCTTGATCCGAGTTGGTGGTGGCGAGATACGAGGCAATTTCGGGTTGACTGTGGAGGACTTGAAAATTTGTATACAAAAGTCTTGATAAAAATTCCAAGTGGAGGTACGCAGTGAAAAAGGCCAAGTAAATAAAAGCTTGAGTTGGGGTCGATCCATGAATAAATAAATCGACAGGAGAGGAAGGCCAAAAATTGACAAAAGGGTCGAAACAGAGTAAAATCAGGCCCAAGGAAAATAAATTGGCAAGAGGTAGTAGCCCAAAAAATCCAAAAAGGTCGTGGCCAATTTAATTCGACCTCAGGAGGCCGAATTAAATCGCTGGAACCATGGGAAAAGCTGGGTTTGAGAGAAAAGACCATCCAAAATAAAATGTTCTTGGACGATTTGACCAGCCAAAAAAATCAACGAGGTCGGTCGTTCCATGACAAGCAAAGTTGATTTCAGGAGCGTCTTCATCGGAGTTGATGGTGGCGAGATAGAGGGAAAATCCCTTGTGGGTTGGGCTTTTGGGGTAAACCTCCCAAAAATAATAAAAAAGGGTAAAATATTTGGGAGGAGCCATTTTGACATGCGCCATGGGCGGATAGGTCTCGAGCGCGAGCATCGTCGGAGCTGGATTTCGAACGGCGCCGCGGTGCATGGAGCCACTTGGCAGAATCGTAGCGACGATACGTACGAAGGATAGCGCACCATTAGAATCGCCATAGGTAGTGTGTAGCGGGAGAGCGCTAGCCAAAACCAGTGTTTTTTCCAATCGGGCGTCTCGGCGGCCAAATTTGAAGGAGTCATAACTTCCGAACGGCTATGAGATAGATAGCCATACTTGGTGTCCTCCATCAATGGAGGCTAGCGGTGGATGCACCATATTAATCGGTGCATATAGAGTCGTGTAGCTGAAATGAGCTACGATGGTCGTTTTGGAGCCTTATCGGCTCAAAATGGTTTGGAATCGGAAGTTGGGTTCCTGTGCTGCTATCATGGTGCTTGATAGCTCAAATCCATCGCGAGGACATTCTCGAGCCTCTCCAACTCTAAGTTGGGCGATCGGAGTTGATTTGCGTTCAGGAGCCATTCCGATGAGTTTTAGCCATTTCACCAAAAGTTGTCGGGGCGACGGCAAGTAGGTTCCAGGGCTTCAATCATCGCTCTTGATGGCTTAAAACACTCGTCTAGCCATGATAGGATGGAAAAGAGTCATAGCCGGTCGATTGGAAATGATTTGCGACCTGTAGCCGACTTAAGGTTTTGTAGCCGGTGGATAGGGGCGGTTGACATTTTGGATTGAGGATTGCGAGCAAACCAGGATGTTTCAGGGCGTTCTAACGCTTTGGCTAGTCGTAATAAGTGGTGGAGCCACCCACTAGCCCGCGTGACAGGCGGGTATACTGACCACTATACTAACGAGGATTTCATGCTGATTTCCCTTCCCACGCAGCTCAATACCCTTCACACTTTCACACACCTTCAAAAAACCACTGTTTCAGCCAATATCACTCTCGCCATACCACACACACACACGCACGAAATCTTCCACACACCTCAACACAACCTCATACCTTCCTTACTTTCCCATTCACAACAATTTACACAAACTCTCTATCCTTCATCAAACGAACCCATTCTCCAAATACCCCACACCACGTGCACATGTGTCCTCTTTGCAAACAAACAAAACACAACTTGCTCTTTCTACCAACGTCCATCTCGGACGCAGGAAGTAGTCGAATGGTACCATTTCCACGAATCGGGTTTAAACATGTCCGTCGTCCCACATCGTGAACACACCTCCATCAAGAGTTGTAGCATTTGCACCGACTATAGCTCAGCATGTGTATACATTTTTAGGGGTCACCAGCAATGTATACTCATCATGATTCACGTGTATCCAATGGCTTGTCGAGAATCTGCTCAGCGTGGTCGCGCGCCATATCATACGCGCCACCGTGGACTCCGTGGTCAAGTCATTTGACAGAATCCAAACCTTGCTGTCTGCTATTCAGGGCAATTCGACATCGATATTGTTATCAATACTGCAATAAACATGATGCAATATCCATCACACAAATATGGGTAACGACTCATTATTTGCTCTCAAACGGAGTGACAAGACATGCTCTTCACGATGAAATGAACAAACGAGAGTGCTGTGTGTATAATTTGTTTTGACGTCGTGACATTGTCGCCTGAACTGATGGTGTTGATTGTCCATTTTGTTTTGTTGTAGTGAGTCTGTTTCAGGTAGTTTTGAATTGGTTGTCGATGTATGGTTGCGTTTGAGGTCTCTGATGAGAAATCTATGTTGCAATATCAAGTTGTTATCAAGTGTTGTCAAGGCTAGACTCGTCGAAATGGAAGAGGCCATCGACAGAGTGGCCTCGAAAACATCCCAACATTCGATGCAGCCAACCAGCTGAAATCCATACTGCTTGGTCTGACTTGGATTGCGTCTTGGGCGATCAACCTTGTTGGAGTGACACTGTCGCATCGATTGAACATGTGGGATGGAATATTGCAAGATTTGTAATGTTGACGATGGTAGGTCAGAAGGACCATTCGAGTGTATGCTATCTTTTGAAAGTAGGAAAAGTTGGAAGGATATAAAAAGATAGGGTTTCTCTCTGTGTAGGAGAGGAAAAAATGAAAAAGGAACTCCCCGTCCGGGAATTGAACCCGGGTCACCCGCGTGACAGGCGGGTATACTGACCACTATACTAACGAGGATTTCATGCTGATTTCCCTTCCCACGCAGCTCAATACCCTTCACACTTTCACACACCTTCAAAAAACCACTGTTTCAGCCAATATCACTCTCGCCATACCACACACACACACGCACGAAATCTTCCACACACCTCAACACAACCTCATACCTTCCTTACTTTCCCATTCACAACAATTTACACAAACTCTCTATCCTTCATCAAACGAACCCATTCTCCAAATACCCCACACCACGTGCACATGTGTCCTCTTTGCAAACAAACAAAACACAACTTGCTCTTTCTACCAACGTCCATCTCGGACGCAGGAAGTAGTCGAATGGTACCATTTCCACGAATCGTGTTTAAACATGTCCGTCGTCCCACATCGTGAACACACCTCCATCAAGAGTTGTAGCATTTGCACCGACTATAGCTCAGCATGTGTATACATTTTTAGGGGTCACCAGCAATGTATACTCATCATGATTCACGTGTATCCAATGGCTTGTCGAGAATCTGCTCAGCGTGGTCGCGCGCCATATCATACGCGCCACCGTGGACTCCGTGGTCAAGTCATTTGACAGAATCCAAACCTTGCTGTCTGCTATTCAGGGCAATTCGACATCGATATTGTTATCAATACTGCAATAAACATGATGCAATATCCATCACACAAATATGGGTAACGACTCATTATTTGCTCTCAAACGGAGTGACAAGACATGCTCTTCACGATGAAATGAACAAACGAGAGTGCTGTGTGTATAATTTGTTTTGACGTCGTGACATTGTCGCCTGAACTGATGGTGTTGATTGTCCATTTTGTTTTGTTGTAGTGAGTCTGTTTCAGGTAGTTTTGAATTGGTTGTCGATGTATGGTTGCGTTTGAGGTCTCTGATGAGAAATCTATGTTGCAATATCAAGTTGTTATCAAGTGTTGTCAAGGCTAGACTCGTCGAAATGGAAGAGGCCATCGACAGAGTGGCCTCGAAAACATCCCAACATTCGATGCAGCCAACCAGCTGAAATCCATACTGCTTGGTCTGACTTGGATTGCGTCTTGGGCGATCAACCTTGTTGGAGTGACACTGTCGCATCGATTGAACATGTGGGATGGAATATTGCAAGATTTGTAATGTTGACGATGGTAGGTCAGAAGGACCATTCGAGTGTATGCTATCTTTTGAAAGTAGGAAAAGTTGGAAGGATATAAAAAGATAGGGTTTCTCTCTGTGTAGGAGAGGAAAAAATGAAAAAGGAACTCCCCGTCCGGGAATTGAACCCGGGTCACCCGCGTGACAGGCGGGTATACTGACCACTATACTAACGAGGATTTCATGCTGATTTCCCTTCCCACGCAGCTCAATACCCTTCACACTTTCACACACCTTCAAAAAACCACTGTTTCAGCCAATATCACTCTCGCCATACCTCACACACACACGCACGAAATCTTCCACACACCTCAACACAACCTCATACCTTCCTTACTTTCCCATTCACAACAATTTACACAAACTCTCTATCCTTCATCAAACGAACCAGATACATTCTCCAAATACCCCACACCACGTGCACATGTGTCCTCTTTGCAAACAAACAAAACACAACTTGCTCTTTCTACCAACGTCCATCTCGGACGCAGGAAGTAGTCGAATGGTACCATTTCCACGAATCGTGTTTAAACATGTCCGTCGTCCCACATCGTGAACACACCTCCATCAAGAGTTGTAGCATTTGCACCGACTATAGCTCAGCATGTGTATACATTTTTAGGGGTCACCAGCAATGTATACTCATCATGATTCACGTGTATCCAATGGCTTGTCGAGAATCTGCTCAGCGTGGTCGCGCGCCATATCATACGCGCCACCGTGGACTCCGTGGTCAAGTCATTTGACAGAATCCAAACCTTGCTGTCTGCTATTCAGGGCAATTCGACATCGATATTGTTATCAATACTGCAATAAACATTGGGTTCTCTCTGTGTAGGAGAGGAAAAAATGAAGAAGGAACTCCCCGTCCGGGAATTGAACCCTGGTCACCCGCGTGACGGGTGGGTATACTGACCACTATACTAACGAGGATTTCATGCTGATTTCCCTTCCCACGCAGCTCAATACCCTTCACACTTTCACACTTCCACACACTCCTCCTTGTTGTGCTGGTACAGTGCGCGCAGGAAGTATAGGACGAAGCGTTTTCATGCAATATTTTTTCAGCCAATGAAATTAAGCTCAAAAGAAAACTAGTCCTGATGATTTCGTTGATTGGCTGAACTGATGGGCGCATTGGCGCGGATTCATTTTGCATTATCGCGCCAAAGAGACAAGTCGGTCATATTGGAGTGCGCAGGAAGTATAGGACATTCGTCAGTTTGCAAAAGGTATGATCTTCGACGACTTTCTAATGCTTTTATATCTAAACTTTGGTGATGTAGAAGACGTAGCTGTGCCCACGAAACAAGAAAAATGCCACGAGGCAAGCACCTGAATGAAACCGAGCGTGCGTAAATTTTAGCCCTTCACAAGAACAACATTAGCGTTCAGCAGATCTGTAAGTATCTGGGTCGATCTAGAAACGTTGTAGTTACCTTTCTGAGCGATCCAGAAGCTTATGGATCTGCTAAACGCTCTGGAAGACCCCCATTATTGACTCCTCTGGCGAAACGCCATCTAATTCGAGACGCTTGCAAGACCGGTGCGTCGGCCAAAAAGCTCAAAAAGGATCTGCAACTCGATGTCTCTATTCGTACAGTGTAAGACATCCTTCACAAGTCCCCCGTCTCGAATTTATGAAGCGTCTTGCAACACCAAAGCTCACCGAAGAGCACAAAATTGCTCGAATTAAGTTTGCTCTTGGTCACCTTGAAGCTCCTCCAAATTGGAGGAAAGACATCTGGTCAGATGAATTTTTTTTAATATCGATGGCCCCGACGGGCGGCAATACTACTGGCACGATTTGATGCGCGATCCCGAATACCGTTTTGCTCGAAAATTTGGCGGCCCAAGTGTCATGGTGTGGGCAGGATTTTCCTGATTGGAAAAACCAAAATATTGTTTTTACAAGGGAATCAAGACTCAGAGGATTACATTTATACGCTACATACAAGATGGCCTCTTTGACTTTGCCCACCTGCACTATGGCAATGATTTCCTTTTTCAGCAAGATGGGGCGTCCATTCATCGCTCAAAAATAACTGCCAAGTTTTTAGAAGACGAAAACTCATCCTTTTCGACAATCCTGCGCTGTCTCCTGACCTAAACCCTATCGAAAACTTATGGGGAATCCTTGCCCGCGAAGTCTATGCTGATGGCAAACAATACGACTCATTGGATGAGCTCAAAAGCTCCATTGAACGAGAATGGGAGAAAATTTCCATCCACACCCTTGAAAATCTCGTTGCGAGCATGCCCCGCCGCTGCATTGGCGTCATTCAAGCTAATGGAGGCATTACAAAGTATTAGTGATCGTTCGATAATGAATAATGCATTCCTACATGATCAGTTGTGTCAATGTCCTATACTTTTTTGCGCCCTCAGTTTCCATGAATTGACAGAGTTGTATGATAGTTCATGTCTAAAACACCATTTGATATCATCCCTGCACTCATCTAAGATTTCTTTATGTCTAATCCACGACAGTTGTCTGCTAAACTTACATCACTCGTGTTATCGTGGAAAAGTCGCGGTGTCCTATACTTCCTGCGCGCACTGTATGACACTTTGTCAAGAGTTGATGGATCCCCCACGGTGTGTATGTGGAGAATTTTGGACTGTTGGAATAATAATACACCACAAACCAATGCTTTAAGGAATGCTTAGATGCGTTGGCTTAAATACTTCAAATCTCTTAGTATTAATATGAATTGCAACCTGTCCATAGAAAGCAATCTGCTAGTTTTCCCAAAGTCAGCCTTTGCTTTTAGAGCCTGGTCAAAACGTATACCTTCCAACGATTCGAGACCATTGACCAAAAAAAGCCCCATCGGACCACTTACAAACGCTACCCGTCTGGGGAAGGCTGAATACAGTGTGTCAAGGACACCAGAGTCGCAAACTGAAACATTCACGACGGTTGATGACAACCTTTTAGAAAACCTGAGCCGAAATGCTTTATCTCCCTCGGCCCAGTCTGTTGTTGTCTATCGACAAAGCGTCGATTCGGTGGACCAGTACACATTAGATAAGGCTGATAGCTTTCGGAGTCACGAAATCGAATGTACAACGTATCTATTAGTTTATGCCTGAGTTGGTGTTTCTGAAGATTGAAAGACGCCCTCCTGGTCAGATTGGATTAGAGTTCCTTGGCTGGCAGATTTTTCGGCATTAGGAACATCCACACCGTAGACAGCTTTGATGGCTTCTGGTGTGACTTCGGCATCTTTGTGATTGAGATCATTGATGTAGGCTTCTTGGATGAACCAAACCATTGGCACAACGTACAATGCAGTGATCACATCAAGTGAGTAGTGCTTCCTCGAAGCAACAATACAGAATGCAATTGCAACTTGAACCGCAAGCATCAAGAGGAGCAATGGGACATTGCGCCAATATTTCCAAACGCCCAAAATGAGCGACATAGTGTACGTAGTATGAGAGCTGAACATGAGATCGCCACAGCCATTGAGTGCGTCAATGTGACCGAAGACCTTTCCAACAGTCATCGGAGGATCAAAATCCGGGTTGGGGATGGTGCAGATGAATTCAGCAGCCGGGTCGTTGGGATGCGCGTCCAGGCATGTTTGGTTGTACAGTGGGCGACAATGTGGTGCAGCTCCAGGGAGTGAAGTCACAAGGAATGAAATGCATCGAAGCATCTACATCTGAGTGAGGAAACGAGCCATGGAAATTTCATACGAGGCAGATGGCCGTTTGGAGGAGGACCCGCTTGGCGATGAGGGCCAAGTAGCGAGGACGCGAGTTTGGCGAAGGCTTGACGAAGAGAACGCTCACAAAGAGGAGGATGACAGGACCAAAGATGCCGCCAAAGACCAAGTACTCTGAAATATGAGATTGCGCTTCCCTATGCTAAATCATCAGTGGATGTACATCGACAGTCTCATCGTACGTGAATTCAGGGAGAAGTTCAAAACCTTGATCGTACAATGGGACACGCTGGGCTGGCGAGAGCTTCGTTTGCATCCAGTAGGCCAAATTGTGGAAGATGTTATGGATGTCTGTTCCATCGGTGAGATTCCTGAGCACGACAAGCGACTACGTACACTGCCAAGCGACACCAAAGAGAAGCGCTTTCCATTCCGCCAAGCAAATCTTGAGTTCAAAGATCGCGTACTCGACCAATTCATTCCAAGAGCGGAGTTTCAACGACCAAGCCATGCCGTCCTCAACACGGTCAGAATCGTAATGGAGTCCAAGGAATTGTCATGATGCCAAGACATTTTTGAGAAAAAAAAGAATTTTAGACTGAAAATTCAAGTGAATTATTCAAAAAAAGAATATTTTCGGACATTATTTTTGGCTGCATTTGTCACAGGTGTTGCAGAGGTTATGCCAGTGTCTCATACTCGCACGTTGATCCGCTTTGGCCAAGCGGCGGCGGCGGCTTGTGCAGTCGAAAGATGCTGGCCACTGACAAACTTGGCCCCAATAATAGAACACGACAATGAATTCGCCAGTCTTCTCAGCGACTCTTCCGAAGAGCCATCTTTCGCCCAAGATTGATGGTCAACGGCGACCAATCCGATCCTGGAAGATGAACGATGCTGTACAATTGGAGCCATTACTCACCGAGTAGAAATCCAGTGCAATGGTGCATACTGCGTGGAGAGAGATCTTCTCGAAGTATAGATGCGCTCGATTGAAATTTTTATTGTGCTTTTGATACAAAATTGTGAGGAACGGTTTGAATCGACCGAGGTTTCCGAATCGAACGGGCTTCTCTGATTAGCTAAAATTAAAAATTAAAAATTAGTCAGCCAATCAGAATCGATCAGCCACCTAACTCACGATAAACACACACTGACACACACCACTTCAGTATTATGAAATCGATTTGAAAATGAATTCGCTTTTTGGTCAAAACCACAAATTTGGTTGAAAATGACAATATAAAAAGCAAATATAAAGCGCAACACGAGCGCTTATCAAGCACTCGGTGCGCTCGATTGATTTTCTCTTCCCATTGGATGAAACAGAACTTGCAGAATAATCTATAAGATTATACCTTTGTATTATCACTATAGTGGAAAATATAAACTTACGAAGTTGTCCTGTATTCTTATCTTGAAAACATGATATTTCGTGCCTCATTCAAGTTGCAACCCAATACTGAAAAAAAACTTATAGCGAATTTTAATCACGAATTCTGCTTGCTCTATCACCTTCCAGTCGCAAAAATCCTCAAGCGATAGGCTTCAATAATGAGGTTCTGGTGCACGAGGTCCCGCATGGATCGAAGCCAATGATGTTCTGGTTGCCAGTAGGTTGTGTTGCTCTGACCAAATTTGACCACAACATTCCATCAGTTAGACCATGCTATCCCTTAGACATTCTGCTAAATAGACCTCGCATGATCCCCATCCTTCAAATAATAGCATTATGACATAGAAGTCAGAGTGGTCTCAATTGAAGAAAGGACAGGAAGTGTATTATATGCATTGAGCTTAGAATTACATAGATTGTATTTCTTAGGTCAATGCATATAAAACTCTCAGTTCACAGGTTCACAAATGCAGTCGTTTCCAGGATTTTATTTCATACAAATTCCAATATGCCATGTGCCCAAAATTGAAAAAAATATCAAACATGTCGACAATATCAAGCGCGCTCGCTTTAATCGCATAAAAAGCACACGCATCTATATCTCGAAGTGAAGTTTTCACCGAGCCATGGCGAAAATGAAGAATCGGGCAGTGATCACCGCATGTGGAACGCGTACTGGTATCGTTGAAGAACAGAGATGACATTGAGAGTGCAAGGCGTCGCCAACGTGGCCAGTGCCAAAATGGCCGAGGCAGACAACATGTCGCCATTGTTGCCGTCAACTTGACAGCCGGGCAATGCCATTCTTGGAGCCATGTCACCGTTTTTCTCGTCTTCTCGACAGCTTGAAGAGAGGTTAGAAG